TCGATCTATCTATCTATCTATCTATCTATCTATCTATCTATCTATCTATCTATCTATCTATCTATCTATCTATCTATCTATCTATCTATCTATCAATCTATCTATCTATCCTGTTACGAAATATTGTAACTCCTTTTTCCTTAACCTTTTTTGGATGTCCTACATACATTTCACTTTGGTCGGGTTCTAAACTGAAAACAAATAGCTTATTAGTTTAGCTATTTGTTAACTGAAGAAAGAAAAAATTAAAAAACTTACACAAATTCCGAATGTAAAACATACGCAGCAGCCAAATCCTGTTGAACTTCAACATCTGCAAGGAAATCAATGGGCGCCACACAATTTAGTTTATTTGCAGACAGTCTTTTTGGAATAAATATTACGCACAATTAACTTTCACACTTAATAAGTTTTATTTGAATTAAATTTGAACTAATGTTAATGCAAATAAATATAACAAAACGGTACAAACTTTTTACAACTATTGAAAGACAAAAGCACAAATACAATTAACAAACATTGAACACAAACATTTCTAAACCGAAACTAGCGGGAAACTAACATTTTTGACAATGCAACAAGTGCTGGTAAGTACTTTGATGGAAAAGCGGTGTTTGGTACCTAGTATTCGAATTTATATAAAAGTAATTGATACCATAATAACATGAGACATTTTATATGGTAATAGAATTAAACACATTGTTTAGTTTATAAATATTATTATTATTAAAGTGGAAATTATTTGAATTAAGTACCACAAAGCTTGTACGTGTTCGTTCAGTACTTTTTTTGCAGCAATACCGTTATAACTTTAGTTAAGCATTGTTAGTGCTGCCAAGTTTTTGTTTGTTTAACAAAATTAAAACTATCTGGTACTAAATTATGCAACTCTGCAAACAGCTGTCGAAAATTTTTCGTGCTGTAATCTATCAGCAACAAATACCATATATTTTGTTAATATTCTTCTTGTATAATCACTCTTAATTTATTGTTAGAGCATCCTGGGTCATACATTTAAAATTATACAAATCGCTTCAGAATAATTTTCCGCGTCGATTTTCCATATATGTTTACCTTGTAATCTAACTACAGGATGGATTTTCGATGATTAATTTTAAATTTTTGTAAATATATTGTTTTTTAAAGTAGTCAAACCGAAAATTAAGCCGCCGCTGATTTTTTAATTACATGCTGCCGTCGCCGGCTGAAAATTGTGCATCAGCCGCCGTCGAATATTTTAACTCGGCTAGTTTCTCTGCACCCAGCATTGTTAATAAAAGTAGCAGACACCAAAAAGCTTTACACAGTTACTGTTATACGTATATTTTTTCTAAACGTTATAAAAGTTTTTCTAATTTTTTAATTAATTTAAAATTAAACGCTTCAAATAGAGATAATTAATAAATTTATCTAGTTTAGAGTTTTCTCTTTAAACCCCTGGTAACTCTACTATCACTGCGCAAAACTCATACGCTTTTTAACAACTCTGCAGTTTGGCTACATGTGTCAAACGAAGTCGTCTTTTTTTTTGTTAATAGGAAAAATATAAAAAACGAGGATTGAATTAATAATATATTACCAAAAAAGAGAAATATATAAAAAACTAATTGATTTAATTGTACACCTATAAAGTGTATAAATTTGTGAAAAATCTAGTGAAAATAATTTATCTCAAACAAAATGGTTTTGGCTGAAAACGAAAAGGTAATTAAATAGTTTTCTTTTTATATCTTATTGAAATTTCCAATTGACAAAACCAACCAAATGTCTGCAGACGTCGTGGAATTTTATACATAATAATGAGTGCAATGTGTTGTGCGTGTGTGTTGATTCCCCTAAAATGTTTCCTCTGACCCACAAATACACGTTGTGGTATACAATTTTTCGAAAAAGTTCACATTATTTTCGTTTAAAATGTGTTAAATTGTTGAAAATTTTAATATTTTATACATGCTATTGAAATATTAAATATTTTTGAAGAAAGCTACTTTGTTATAATTTCTTTAAATTACGAATAGAATTACATGTTGTGCAGTTTTGTTATTGTAATGTGTGTATTCTTAAACACAAAAAGAATTGGTTGTGTTTTATCATTAAAATATCTAAAATATTTTATTTATTATGCATTTTTGTGTTTTATATTATACCCTACATTAGAATATACTATATACATATGTTGATTTATTGGTAACATTATGAAGAATATTATTAAATTTAGAATTTTCTTATTGGAAAAGAAAGTGCAAAACTCAGACGAAAAGAGAATGAAGTAATTCATCAATGACAAATATGAATATTAGCAAACAAATTTGTCATTGGGTTTGGGTACATTAGGTATATTGTGGTAAATATAAATCTTCTTACCCGATGATCTATTGTAAACATAGTTGTACATGTAAACTGAAATTTACTTTTAAGATAAGCTTTCATACCCGAAAGGCATAAGATTGGAGTAGACTTTGTGTTACTCGAGGTGTATCATACTTCGTACAACAATGACTTCACTTACGATATAAGATTGTACCTATTTGGCGTAAAAAAAATATTACATCTTACGAATACCGATCCTCTACTACATCCTGCCAATTCTTGATAGCGAGTATGTGGTCGAGGTTTTACCAGAACCAAATGTTTGGAAAATACGACTAGTTCGTAAATTTCACCTTTAAGATGATATCATTCGATATCGAACAAAAAATGTGTTCGACATGAAAACTAATTCGATCACTAAATATGCGTCCCAGGTTTATTGTCAATACAGATTCGAACATTTCCATTATTTATCCAATAGAACCACTGAATGGTTCTGAATTGATTGTAAAGAATGGAACAGAATATTTTTTGATGAGTGTCGCTTATCATTCTCTTAATAGACCTGGATCTGTACTAATTTACGAAGCAGGGATGTTAATTTAGGATATTGTTGCATCTACAGCAACCTAGATGGCTCTAAAGTCCATCAAGAGTTTTTCTCTCGACATTGTGCAACATCGTAACCTCACGACGATTTGTATATAGTGTATGAAGTTCATATTGGTGCATCGCTTTTGTATATATAGCTATAGCTCAGGTTTTGTTGAGCCGAACTATAACTATACTATATGAGTTCCATCCTAAGTTTTTTTTTTCAAAACACTAATTTTCCTAAGACTAATCTTCCTGATGTGTGACCTATTTGGCCACGTTAATTTCCATTCTAATGACTCTTTGGCAATAGAGTTTATCTCTAAATAGAAACAAATTAACGTAATGAAGCTAAAAGGAAAAGGTGAAAAGAGAACTTATAGTAATGAAGTACATGATCCATTTAGGAATACATGATCAGTTTAGTAGTAGTTAAATGGAGTATGTTTTGTCATATATTTGAATTAGTTTTAGACCGGCTCTAGTCCTTTGAGGAGTACTCTTTACATGCGTGTACGTAGTAGTCTCAATTTTTGCATTGTCTGTCCTAATGATTGGACATTTCTGATTTTCCAACACATATACATAAATTTATCAACGGTAAAACAAACAAACAAAAAACATAAATCATATAGACTTCAACAATTTTACTTTCATTTTATAACCAACCGAAAACAAATCCATTCCAACATGCTGCAAATAAGACACAAAAACAACATCTAACGGAGGAATAAATAAAAGAAACTGTTGGATAAATCAGAGATGGAAAAAATGAAAACCTTATAAATCCATTTAGAGTTTGTTCCATTTTTGAGTTCTTTGCGTTCACTGCTGAACACGCAAGTGTTTGACATACTATTTTTCATATTTTTTGGAGGATTGTTCTTTGGGCAAAATAGTTATGGCCTTAGACATGTTTAAGTTGTTTATAAGAGGTGGCTACATTTAGCATCTTATTGGGTTTGGCTATAGACTACACTAAGTCCAGACTGTAGATTAAACTTTAGTCCGGACTTAACCGTTGTCTAGACTATAGACTAAACTATCGTATATTATTATGTTTAACTACCTATAAACTATTACTAAAGTATAGTCTAGACTGGACTAAACTTAAGAGTTGACTATATACTAGATTGGAAAAAAACTAAGGCTAGATTTTAGTGTTGTCTAGATTTTAGTAGTATATACTATAGACTTAACTATGCTTTATAGTTATTACAGACTAAATTATAGTCTATAACATCGACTAAACTATAGTGTATACTAAAGGCTAGACTATAGTATTGTCTAAACTTTAGACTAATCTATAGTGTAGATCAAATAGTAGTAAATAGGCGAAACTGAAACGGTTGCCAAATACAAATTTATATTCTCTTCACACAGACGAGTTCTGAGAGAATTAATAATACATTCTCACCAGTTAGGTCTTTGACAGGTGACTTAGGTCTTTGACATCCAGTTTCGCTTATAGTTACTATAGGGACCACTATAGACTATATTATAAAATAAACTACATATAGTTTAGCTGTTAGAGTCAAGTATAGTTCAGCCATTAGACTTGACTATGTCTGGACTATATATAATTTATAGTATATACTAAAGTATAGACTAAACTATAGACTATACTATAAACTAAACTGTAGTCTATACTATAGAATAAACAATAATTTTGCCGCTAGACTCAACTATAGTCCAGGCATGAGATTTACGTATAATTTAGACTATGGTATATTCCAGACTCATTAAAAGCGTAGCTTGAAGCATCACAATGGATCCAGTGTTATATTGAAGTCAAAAAAATCGTTTAACCTTTAAACTACACCGGATGGAAATACGATTCCAATACAAATTTCTGAAATTCAAACAAGTTGTGCTCATTTAATTACATTAAAAACTGTTCTTACGATATTTGTATCAAAAGTTATATAGTGCATTATTCCCCATCTCTGATATTGTTCTTCGTTGTCTCTTTTGTGCTGTATTTTGTTGTATATGATCGTGGTGTTTGTTGTGTTTGTTTGTCTGGCTGGCTGTGTTGTTGCAAAATCACCGTTTTTTTTTTTTCTTCTCCTTCTTTTTTGCACATGAACAATCAGTTCGAAAACAAACATCATTCTATAAACAGTAAATTCATAAGCGAGTTTTTTAATAAAATTCAATTTTTACTTTATTTACGATTGTAAAATTGCAACAACAACAAAAAAGATCTTGTGATAGAAAAGAAAAAAAAAACGTACTGTAACAAAATACTCGTTTTCATTTAAAATCCAGACTGCCTTGGATTTTTATTTCAGTTATTTTTTTTTTTTTACAAATTTGTGACACATGCAGCAAAAATAATAATAAATTTTTAGAGATCAGTTTTATAAGAAAAAATTTTCATTCAATAAGTTTTGTCATTTTACAGCATTTAAAACAAAAATTTCTCTTTAAACAAAAAAAAAAAGACAAGAAACGAACAAATTTTTGGAATTGCAAAATATTTAAAAGCCGTGTATACCAATAAAAAAAAATTAAGCAGACAAAAAGACAACAACAAAAATATAAAAGAATTAAAAGCACAAGATAAACACGTGAACTAAAACGGAAAATACAAATAAAAAACAGGTCCCACTGACGAGAAAAAAAAAAGAACAGTAAAAGAATTTAAAACGAAAATCAAAGAAAAACGAGGTCATTAGCATAATTTGGTAAAAAAAACAAGAACACTATTCCAAAAGTGTGAGAAAAACTGCATACGGTATTTTTTTTCCAGTAAATGGCATTTGGTCTAGTTTTATTTTAAAAACCATCACTTCAATGATCTTTGTTTTATTACACACAAACTAATTAAACATATTTCTACTCATTGTATTTAGCTCTTTATTTCTGTAATAACTTTTATTGTTTTTTTTTCTCATATGCAATTCTGTGTGTGTGATCATCATCTTGTAGATATTTCTCTTTGTGTGTGCGTTCATAATTTTTTGTTTCGTTTCTCTTACTTTTTTTTTTTTTTTGCCATTTTGGTTAGAAAAAAAGAGCATTTTTTTCTGTAATTATACTCTGCTTTTGTTTAATAAATCTACTCTGCTGCATACCCCACCTTAAAAATAAAGTAGAAACGAAAAGAAATATAAAAAAATAATTGTGCTGGATTGTTTGTGTGGTAGCAGTAAATAAAAATAATAATAATAAAAAAAAAGTAAAATTATTTTACACAATATCATCATATCATAGTCTCTTGTCTTAAGAGAACTGGCTGTTGACTAACGTCAAAAAAGAAGCAAAAAAAAAAAACACATTTTGTTGTTCTTCGTTCATTTTTTTTTTTTTTGTATTTTACTCATTATAATTTATTCGTTTTAAATATTTGTGTCATGATGTTTCAAAGCGACTTTCATAGAAAGAAGAATTTTGCAAATCCAAATTTGTTTAAAGTAAGTTAATAAGTGTATGTGTATTGTAACATAATTAATATAAATTTGACGTTAAGTTTTTTATTTTGCCTTAAGTTTTCTTTGTATTAAAAGTATTTATTTTTTTATTTTAGAACTCTACCACACAAAAGGAGAATGCTCCAGCTGCTGCTCAACCTACACCAGCAGCCGGCCGTCCTGAAGCCAAAGAGGAAACCAATACCAAACCCGATCAAGAGGAGGTTCGCCCTGAACATTTGTTCAAACATCCCCTACAGAACACCTGGACTTTGTGGTATTTAGAAAATGATCGTACTAAATCATGGGAAGACATGCAAAATGAAATAACCAGCTTTGATACCGTTGAAGATTTCTGGAGGTGAGTTTAAAGTTAAATTATTGGGTTTCTCCTTGGTCTATTGAATAATCTATTAACTAATTTATGGATTAATCTGTTGACTATTCTACAGAGTAGTCTGTTGACTTGTCAGTTGTCTAGTCTATGGTCTAATCTTTTGACTTGTCTATTGTACAGTCTGTTGACTATTTTATGGACGTTACTATTGACTATTCTATAGACTAGATTACTGATTAGTCTGTTAAATAGGTTTTAGACTTATTTGTTGACTTGTTTATGGTCTATAGACTAGACTATTGACTAGTTTATTGACTAATCTATGGTATAATCCGTTGACAAGTCTATTGGCTACTCTATTGTTCAGCCTGAAGACTATTATATTGACTAGCTTATGGACTACTCTATTAACTAGTCTATGAACTTGTCTATGGTCTGTTGACTAGTCTGTTGTCTTGTCTATGGTCTAATCTATTGGCTATTCTATTCTATAGTCTGTTGACTACTCTAGTCTATGGTCTTATCTTTAATCTAATTTATTGTCTAGTCTGTTGACTAGTCTATGGACTAGATTATTGACTAGTCTATGTACTAGATTATTGACTAGTCTATAGACTAGATTATTGACTACTCTATGGACTAGACTATTAACAAGTCTATGGACTAGACTATTGACTAGTCTATTGAATAATCTATTGACTAGTCTATGGTATAGTCTATTGTCGAGTCTTTTGACTAGCCTATGGTCTAGACTATTGACTAGTCTATGGTATAGTCTAGACTATTGGCTAGTCTATGGATTAGACTATAGACTAGTTTATGATATAAACTGTTGACTAGTCTACTATATTGTCTATTCTGTTTACTAATATATGGACTATAGTATATTGATTATGTAGTAGTATACGAACTTTTCTATTGACTAATCTATTGGCTGCTCTATTCCCTAGTCGGTTAACTACTCAATGAACTAGTTGAGGCTGTTTACTCATCTATCATCTAATCTCATAACTAGTCTATTGTCTTGCCTATTGACTACATAGTATAGAATACTCTACAGGCTAGTTTGTTAACTACTCTTTTGACTAGTTTATGGACTAGTCTCATCTGTTGATTAGTCTGTGTTGTATTACATATTTCAATCATATTCTCTATTTACTTTTAGCCTATACAATCACATTAAGCCCCCATCTGATATTAAAGCTGGCAGCGATTATTCTCTATTCAAGAAAGGCATTCGGCCAATGTGGGAAGATGCTGCTAATAAACAAGGTGGTCGTTGGGTTATTACATTAAATCGTTGTCCAAAACCTGAATTGGATAATTTGTGGTTAGATGTGGTGAGTTCAAGAAACAAAAAATGAAATCAATACTAATAAACTTCATTATAATGAAAAAAAATTAAAATGTTCAAAACTTTTTCAGCTTTTATGTTTAATTGGTGAAGCTTTCGATCATTCAGATCAAATTTGCGGTGCCGTAGTCAATATACGTAATAAAAATAATAAAATTTGTAAGTAACTTATTACTGCCAAATATCCTTTGGAACTTAAGAAACTTAATTTTTTTTTATTCTTTAGCTATTTGGACTGCTAATGGCAACAATGAAGAAGCCGCTTTAGAGATTGGCCATAAATTGAGAGAAGCTTTGCGTTTGGGTCGTCAAAATTTGCAATATCAGCTGCACAAGGATACAATGGTTAAAACGGGCTCAAATGTTAAATCCGTTTATACATTGTAAATGAATTATGTTTTTTCTTAAATGTTTTTGTTCGAAAAACACATGTTTGAGGATGGTAGAGTAATCAAAGAAAAAGAAAAGAAGAATACCCAATAACAACTATATTGTCTTAGTATACATTGTCATAAAACATATGCACACAAAACAGCAACAACAGGAAACTACCCCCATACTCACACTTTTATACATACTACTACTACTAATATTAAACCTACAACTTCCTCTTCTGTAATTAAAATTTTTCTGCAATTATCTTGTGCATGTGCTGAACTGTCCCTTAATTTGCTAATATTTTTGAGCCTTAGTTTTGGCACCAGCTGAAATTAGGAAAATATAACAAGAAACATTCAACGAAAAAACAAAAATTAAAGCAAAACAAAATACCTTTCACTTTAAAACTAACAAGCAGAAAAAAAATTTGATTGTATTTCCATTAAAAATTCTCCCTAAACTACTCGAAGATTAACAGGAAAAGCAAAAACAAATCAGTGCTGGTTTTTATTAACATCATTTTATTATTGGTAAAGAAAATTTGTAAACTTTTTTGTTAAAAAAGCCGGTCTTTGGCAAATTTTCTAAAAATTTGAATTCCAAAAAAAAAAAAATATTTGCAAAGCATTATTATTTTGGTCTAAACAAATTATGAAAACTTTTTAAATAATATTGTTGTTAAACACAGAAATAATTCAAAATTATCTTAGAAAACCGCACTTAATCTTGAAAACATTTTATGTAGTTTGGGTAAAATTGTGTCTAACCACTCAATAATAACAACAAAACATAAAACTTTAATTTCAATCCTTTTATTATTTTGTCAAGTCTCCTTTTTATTTTATAAATTTATAAACTCGATGTTTTAACATGAATATTTGAATGAAATTATTATGATTAATTTAAAAATGCAAAAAAAAAAAAACAAATCCACACAAACACATTAAATTGATCTAAATAAAATTTTGAATAAAAATAAATTATCGATAAATAAACCAAAAAAACAATTGTTGTTTTTATTTTTTGTTAAGGGGCTGTACGTCTTTAAGAAAAATTTATAAAAACAGAGAATGTGGAAGAACAATATTAAAGTACAAATGATTACTTTTTAATACAAATTTAAACTACTTTACAGTAAAAACCTTTTTTCCAATATATAAAATATGCATTTAATGCAGTATGTACATATCTCATAAATACAATTTAAAAGTTTTTTTTTGTAACATCATTAAACAACATACATATATCACAAATTCTGTTCGAAATATCTCCATAAACTCAATGAGACATGATGCGTTCTACTTTACGACGTAAATCTTTGCGACGACATTGTTCCAATGCTTCGCATATTATTAATACATGTTTTTTGGGATCTATCGAGTCATCTTCTTCGAATATTTGGAAGAGCTTATAAACGCGAGTTTTTAAATCACGATACTGAATTTCAACGTCATCCATTTCACCCTGACATATATCCAGTTCACGGCCCAGACAACGCCAATCCGTACCAATTTCGCTGGCTATTAGTTTATAAATTGCGGCACGTTTCTCCTTGGTTGGAACTTGATCAAATGTGGCTTGTCGTGGTCTGCTGTTATTAACAGGATTAGTAGTGGGAGAAGCTGCATTAACATTTGGTGCATTTACATTCAAACCACTTTGGAAACCGTTTATTCCACCACTTATATGCAAACGGGTGGCACATTCGTGCGACAAACGTATTTCACGGTATTGATTATACGGCTCAGCCGGTAATAATTCCTTGGGTACATGATAATTCGTGATAACTGCTGCCAAGGCGCCACCATATTCATCGGCAATTTCCCTAAAAGGTTCAATATTGAATTCCGATAATGCGTCATGTCGTTCCAGACAGTCGATCAAGTCATCCATTGTGTGTATGCGATACATGTTACGGGCTGAACCAATATCAGCCCGGAACATATATTTAAGATCCTCTAGATTCTCCTGGGCTGTGGGATCATTGGCTGCAATTCTTTTGAGAGTTTCAAATGTTAGTGGTTGTCCCATTTTTGTTGGTTTTTACTAAGAGGTGTAGAATTTCTTTTTTTTATTATGGAATTTTGTTTTGTTATCAATACAAAGCATTAGAAATCGAAGTCGTTGTAAAATAGTTAACGGCGTTGACTAGCCCACAAAGACACGACGACGATGTGGGTTACCCTTGTGAAATAAAAAGTTTTATAATTTTGAGGACAAAAATGGACAGTTAATTCAAATAAAATAAAAATGTGAAATAAATATAAACTAAAATAGAAATATCTGGGAAGTGATCAGAAAAATTTCTGATAGGTTTGGCAAACACCTTCAAAATCTTGAGATACGGATAAAAACCCGGGTTTAAGCACTTAGAAGCTGAGTCCTTTATTTTATACATATCGTCACCTAAAATGTAAAATGGCGTAACAACACTTTTAAACATTTTACAGGTGAGACAAAAAACTAAATAAAATGAAAGCTATTGTTGTTATAAAAACTTGTAAGAAAATGACAAGTATTGTATCCTAACATCGATAAAAACATTTGAATACCACTGTACCGCCAGATATTGTCTATTATGTTGCATTTTAGGACTTTCTTACTTGTAGAAATTAATAATTTTTTGTAACGCTGAGTTTAATTTGAATAAAGTCAGTGTTTTTGAAAATAGATTTCTAAAAATTTACGAAAACATGTATTTTGATGCAGTAAACCATTTTCAATCTTAAACCTTATTGCATTTCAGGTGACGATATCTAATGTTTAAGTAACGTAAAGAATTAAGTGTATATTTCTTCAAAAAATATATTTCTGACTTTTTGTAGCTTATTATTTCTAAAAGAGATACTTAAAATTGGTTGAGATTCTACTAAGTTACTGACTTAAATGTTTGGAACTTAACATATTAATATTATTGATATGAACATAGATTAAAAAAGCTTGTAGAATTTGTAATTTATTTACAAAAATTATGAAAAACTATAGGTTCTAAATTTGTTCTTTTGTTTACATCTTTTACAGGTATATGTGTTGAATTTACACAAAAATTGCCCTTTACTTTTTGTATTGCTAAACAATATAACAAATTCACCACAAAAATTTCAGCTGTTGTGGTTTGTTAGTTTCTCTCTTAATCACATTGTTTGTTTCACAGCGACGACGAGCTATTCATTTCTCCCGTCTGGCTAGATTTGGATTCATTTGTGAAGAGTCGTCAAAACGGTGCGTGTGTGTTAAAATTCGCAACAGAAGAAAAAACGAAAGGAAAAAAATATAATGAATATTTTTTGAAGTGATAATAAAAATTTGAAATTAAAATTTTAAGAAACAAATGTAAATAAATCAAGTAATAAAAATGATTTACAATCAAAGCCAAATATAAAGAAAACTACATACACACATAATTATAAAATGAATTCGATTTATTTTTACACAGCAAAAAAGAAAAATATTTGTTAAAGAAAGAGTGTAAAAAGAAGAGTGTGTATGTTTGACAGTGCATAAATATGTATTTGTTGAAGAGTGTGTGTTTGGTTTTCTTCCACAAAATTTTAAGAAAAAACAATTTAAATCATAAATAAGAATAGATTTTCTTTATAATTTAAGGTGTTTTTTACTAAAAAGTTATTTTATAAATTGATTGAAGCTAGTTTTTTATATATTTCTTAAAATATTGTGTGATTTTTTTCTTTGTATTTGCACATTTCTCATTTACGCCCTTTCTTGCAGACATTATGCACAAACACACGCATGTAAACATACCTACTCAAACACACTCCTTCTTTGTATGTAACAGAGTGTGTAATGAAAATTGGCCACATATAAGAAAAACAATAACAATGAGAATAACAACAGCATAGAAAAGAAAATTCAATTTTTGATGTGATTAAAAAATTAAAACAAATGCATGCAAGATATTTGTGATGAGGCATCATGTTGTTGTTCTAATTTTATTGATATGTTTATTCTTGTTTTGTCATTGCCTAGACAAAAATACAGAAAACACACAAACCAACTCTTTGTTTTTGTTTTTTAACGAAGCAACAACAATAAAATATAATTGCTTGATAGGCAAAGAAAATATTGGAAAAATCGAATAGAAAAATATTTACAACAAAAACAACAGCAATACAAATTATAGCGAAAAGAGAAACAAAACAAAAGAAATATAAAGAAATACGGTCTTGCTAAAGTAAAACACAAAAAGTTAAAATCATAAAAACGTCCTCTTGTATTAAAAAATTAGAAATAAATTACATACCTACATATATGTAGGTATTTTTATTTTATTTTTCTTATTTAATTTATTAAGTGTTTTTATTCTCTTTTAACAGTGCAACTTTAAATTAAATAAAAATTTTCTTACAAACAAAAGAATTTTAACAGCAACAATTAAAACATGTATGAATGAATTTTTGTTTTAATATTTACGCTTTCCTGTTTTTGATTTTATTTCTTTTATAATTGTGTCTAAAAATAAAAAATAATTATAATAAAGAATAAAAACAGAAGAATAAATAAATTATTGAAATAAACAAAAAAAAAAAAAGTTTCAACAAAAATAAACAACAATGCCCTGCGATAATACAACAAAGAATTCATCAGACATTGAACATGCCGATTGGAGTACTGGCACTACTAGTCAACCTTATAACGTTAGGTAAGTTAATTATTTTTTCGTTTTTGTAATAAAAAAAAATAAAATTGATATTTTTAAAACAATTTGTTTTAGTCACGTACAGAATCTGTTAAAATATATAATTTTTTTCAAATTATAGCCTCAAAATTGACAATAAAATTAGAACCAGTTTTATTTTTGGTTAATGTTTTATAATAAACTCTTCTACCTAGGCATTGAGGGGTATTTTAATAGATTTTTAACAATTTTATTAAAAAATTACGAGATAGCTCTGGGCCAGAAATGAATAGAGTAGAGAAAGAACTGAAGTGGAACAGAACTAGAATTGAACTAGAATTGAACTAGAACTGAACTAGAACTGAACTAGAATTGAACTAGAACTGAACTAGAACTGAACTAGAACTGAACTAGAACTGAACTAGAACTGAACTAGAACTGAACTAGAACTGAACTAGAACTGAACTAGAACTGAACTAGAACTGAACTAGAACTGAACTAGAACTGAACTAGAACTGAACTAGAACTGAACTAGAACTGAACTAGAACTGAACTAGAACTGAACTAGAACTGAACTAGAACTGAACTAGAACTGAACTAGAACTGAACTAGAACTGAACTAGAACTGAACTAGAACTGAACTAGAACTGAACTAGAACTGAACTAGAACTGAACTAGAACTGAACTAGAACTGAACTAGAACTGAACTAGAACTGAACTAGAACTGAACTAGAACTGAACTAGAACTGAACTAGAACTGAACTAGAACTGAACTAGAACTGAACTAGAACTGAACTAGAACTGAACTAGAACTGAACTAGAACTGAACTAGAAACTGAACTAGAACTGAACTAGAACTGAACTAGAACTGAACTAGAACTGAACTAGAACTGAACTAGAACTGAACTAGAACTGAACTAGAACTGAACTAGAACTGAACTAGAACTGAAACTAGAACTGAACTAGAACTGAACTAGAACTGAACTAGAACTGAACTAGAACTGAACTAGAACTGAACTAGAACTGAACTAGAACTGAACTAGAACTGAACTAGAACTGAACTAGAACTGAACTAGAACTGAACTAGAACTGAACTAGAACTGAACTAGAACTGAACTAGAACTGAACTAGAACTGAACTAGAACTGAACTAGAACTGAACTAGAACTGAACTAGAACTGAACTAGAACTGAACTAGAACTGAACTAGAACTGAACTAGAACTGAACTAGAACTGAACTAGAACTGAACTAGAACTGAACTAGAACTGAACTAGAACTGAACTAGAACTAGAACTGAACTAGAACTGAACTAGAACTGAACTAGAACTGAACTAGAAGAACTGAACTAGAACTGAACTAGAACTGAACTAGAACTGAACTAGAACTGAACTAGAACTGAACTAGAACTGAACTAGAACTGAACTAGAACTGAACTAGAACTGAACTAGAACTGAACTAGAACTGAACTAGAACTGAACTAGAACTGAACTAGAACTGAACTAGAACTGAACTAGAACTGAACTAGAACTGAACTAGAACTGAACTAGAACTGAACTAGAACTGACTAGAACTGAACTAGAACTGAACTAGAACTGAACTAGAACTGAACTAGAAACTGAACTAGAACTGAACTAGAACTGAACTAGAACTGAACTAGAACGGACTAGAACTGAACTAGAACTGAACTAGAACTGAACTTAGAACTGAACTAGAACTGAACTAGAGACTGAAACTAGAACTGAACTAGAACTGAACTAGAACTGACGAGAACTGAACTAGAACTGACTAGAACTGAAACTAGAACTGAACTAGAACTGAACTAGAACTGAACTAGAACTGAACTAAACTGAACTAGGAACTGAACTAGAACTTGAACTAGAACTGACAGAACTGAACTGAACTGAACTAAAACTGAACTAGAACTGAACTGAACTAGAACTGAACTAGAACTGAACTAGAACTGAACTAAACTGAACTAGAACTGAACTAGAACTGAACTAGAACTGAACTAGAACTGAACTAGAACTGAACTAGAACTGAACTAGAACTCAACTAGAATTCAACTAAAACTGAACTAGAACTGAACATAACTTGAACATCGATTGAAATCATGAAAAATTATTTAAATTGAAATTGAAAACCATGGATCCTAAAGATTTGTGCATAAAATTATATATTGTTGCTTATATAACGAATGTAAAATAAACTAATCGGGTGTAAATATACACATCTATTTACTTCAAGACTTTCATAATCCAAAAAAGTCGTTTCGAGGTTTGAATGGCTTTGAATGTTTAATGATATTTTTCAAATAATTTTTAAACAAATCAAGGGAAATGAAAAGTTAAATCAGTTTTCAGCTAAATTAAAACTTAATTTTTGTTTACCTAATATTGATGATGCATTCTAGCCCTTATTTCAAAGAACCTGAATATTGCATTATGCCAATCTTGTAGCAAATAAACATTTATAATTTATTGAAAGGTCAATGAATATTTTCCAAACGAAATGT